CCCCAAAACCCCAAAACCCCAAAACCCCAAAACCCCACTTGTTTTTTCTCTAGTTAAAAAGTTGATCTAAAAACATTGAAAGAAATAAAGATAAATAAAATTTCTATTTAAATTTATAATAATCAATTAGGTTTAGAAGTTAGCTTCCACCGATTAATATATTAAAAGTATGCAAGAAGGACACCAGAACCCTAAGTTGAGTAATCCTTTCATGAATCTTCAAGGATACTCTGGTTATGGCGGATATCAACAATAACCTAGAAGCATGTCGTTCCAATCTTATCCTGAAATCGAAAATCAACAAATTTCGGGTAGATCAGAACGTTTTGGATCTCATTCTGAACTTTTATAATCAAACATAATCTCACAACATCTGCCCCATCAGTATAATCAGTTTCAATTGCCTTAACACCAATTCATCGATTTTCCTCAAAATTAATACCAAATGGGATAAAATATGGGATTTTTGCCGAAAAACTCTTAAAGCTATTAGAATAATCAGCATCCTATTAAACATACTTCACTTTTCGCAAGCTATTAGCAAAATAAAATTGAAAGAGCCCCAGAATTCATGACTGTAACAGTGATACCTCTGGAAGCACATCTTAATCCTTATGATATGATGGTAGAAGTTAACTCAGACATCGACAAAAACCTAAAGCAAATATTTGCGAACCAAAAATATTGGCAGCCGGTTTTCGCCAATCACTCACCCTTGATACCTCCTCATTTCAGGTAAATCAATTTTATTTTAATTATTATTAGGGTTTTCAAGACATCTGTTTCCAACTATGAAAGTAAATTTCCTCAATTTAAGGGATTGAGTAATTAATTTTGCATCTTATTTATATTTCCTAATAGAACTTTAAATATTGAGCCTAAAATGTGAAGGCTATTAATTCCCCAAGAATCCAAATGCTTTGCCAGTCGAATAATTCTGTGTATCACATTTCTTTGGACCTCTAGTTGTTGCATTATAAACTGAAACAGCCCCACCAGTGCTAAAGAATTTCTATCCCAGCTTTCTTGATTTTCTTCGTGCTATTAATGAAGAAGAGGGGCGTAATTACCCGCCACCTCCAATTCCTTCAATATTAAATAACCCTCCCTTTTTACCAACAACAGGAGACGATATCAATATGCCTTAGAGATTTGATATATAATTCATGACATAAAATTTGGTTAGGGTATTATAAGAGTCAAGTCTTGAAACATTTTAAAAGAGATTGGAACTTTACTTGAAGTCCATAAATCCGATAATATTCTATATCTACAGATATAAGACATCTTTTTGCGCTAACAAGTCTAAAGATCATGATTGGAATTTTTGCGTGTATGCGCATAAGCCTTTTGATTTCCGACGACCTCCTGATAAGATCTATTATCTGCCAGAGAAATGCAAAAACTATAATCAAGAGACTGGCCAGGGTTGTCGTGAAGATTGCTAGTTCTCACACACCACTTTTGAGAGACTTTACCATCCGAATCAATATAAAACGAATCCTTGCCAGTAATTTGGCAAAAAGAGAAAGACATGCTAGAAGGGGGAGCTGTGTGCGTTTGTACATTATGAGTACGAGCAAAGACATATCCCTTCTTGCGACAAAATGATTCTTTTTGAAAGATTAAAGAGGCTCATTAATTAAGGCTTTTAATAGTCTGGCCTCCATTTTATTATCCTTCCAAACTTACCGGAAATGACAGAGGAAGAGTTAAGACATTTGCAGAGGATTACTGAACAATAAGCAACTAATATCCCTATCAATAATTTATCAACCAACACATCCTCTCAAATTGTTAACAATCAGGCAAAGTTTGAAATTTCATCTCCCTTGATGAATAATTTTGCAACCTCAAACGGAAACTTGTAATATTAGAATGATTTCTCTATTCTAGAACTAGCATCTTTAAGTTTAAAATCTAAAGCCTTTACACCTAGCTACAAGAAAGCCTCATCTTGCAACAGTCAGCCAGATGACTATCATGGATTAGAACTGATAAATTAAAGCCCTGAGAAAATATCTGAAATAGATGTGGATAAAATATCATTGGAGCTGCGTAATATTCAGCCAGAGCACCTCATGATTCAACCAAAATCTCCTATAAGACACCAGTCCTCATCATAAACTAACCTGAACTATTAATATCTTATTGAAGCCTAAGAGTTAACTTGTAAATAAAATGATGATGACCAGGAATCAGAGATGTATTAAGTAATTATGAAAAGTAAGGATCTAATTAAACCCCATGAAGACTCTTAAACTCGCACTAGCAGTAGATTTCAGCAATTTTTTGACAAGATGGCAACAAGTGACGATTAGTCCAGAAAAGGGACTGAGAACTCCAACCTTGCATCTTACGATGAAAATGCAGCTGAAGAAGAAGAGCATGAAGACAATGATGGTGCAGACGACGTTTTTCATAGAGATATATTCTAAATGAACATAGAAAACATCGGAATTAATTATCTGAAAGATTAACACAGTGACTTTTGATTGAAAGAGTTACTATTTTTTCCACTCTGGCTCCTTCATCAGGAGGAGAGCCATAAATATTGAGTTTAAAGTTTTTTTTCTATCTTAACCAAAGAGATTTATGATAAATATTTAAATCACATATCTTTTTTCAAATAATAATAATAATATTCAAGTTGGGGTTTTGGGGTTTTGGGGTTTTGGGG